TATAGATATGCTTTACAAGTTGACATAGATACTGTAATGTGAATCCTTGTTTAATGGCATCCTTATTTCTATAATTTAAACACCGGACGGTTATTTTAAACTGTTCAAATGACAGAATGGGAAGGATGCTATTTATAAATGGCAATTAAAATTCTGCGCAATATTTATTAAATAAATCTGTAACCTTGAGCTCTAAATCAGCTATAAAAAATATTTTGGAAAACTGAAATTTCTTACCGACAAGGGATATTCCCAGAAGAGTTTAATTAAACTGGTTTTGAAGAATATGCATCTGGATTAAGCAACATGGAAATTGTTGATGGCACCTTAGGGCTAATGATATTAGTGAGCATTATAGTAATAAATGGATGATATTAGTTGTTCTGAATGGTATGGTATTGATTTGTGCCATTCATCTTCTGATTGGCCGAAGAACTGAGCTTTTTATAATGCTAATGGAAATTAAGAGCTTTACAACATAGCACATGGACATATCTTAGCAACCAAGCACTTAGGAAGCATTGAAATATAAATACACATGTATTCATTCCTAGATTAGTTTTGGGGCAGAGCATGTGAAGGCTCGTACATCTCTCTCTCTCTCTCTCTCCCCCCCCCCCGCCCCCCGAATTTATATATTTTATCTTGGTCCTATCATTAAACTTTTTAGGCTGCTAATCCAGTTAAAGCAGTTTTACAATGCCAACAATAAAATAAGTAACATAAATCTGCTGCAGTGCTAATACTCCAGATCAAAACAATCTGTAAAAGTGTCTAATGAAAGCATTACCAACAATACAACTGAAAAATTATATGAGTAGGTTAAGTCCTTGAAAAATAATATTAAAATCTTGGCATGGCATGAAAGTACTATAGCATAGGCATTATGTGATCCTCCTTAAGGCAAACTCTGTCCATAGCCAAAGTGCCAATCATGGAAGAACCTTTTTAATTATAGTTACATATTATTCTTTATGTCTAATCTCAGTTAGCACAGCCATAATCTATATCCGTTGATGTTTTCAAAATGATGTCTCTAGTCTTTATTTTATTTTTGTAAGCTGCTCAGAGCCATTGAGATTGACTTGAGTGGTCATGTAAATATTCTTCAATAAAATAAATAAATAATCAAGAAGAGTGATTTGAGCGGTGATATAAGTTTTCCCATATAAAATAACTAAATAATTCAAATGGGAGGTATCAGTCTGTAAAAAACTAAAATAAGCCTAAAGGTAAAGGTTTCCCTGTCCAGTTGTCTCTGACTCTAGGGGGCACTGCTCATCTCCATTTTCTACAAGAAAACTGAACCTAGGTAAAGACTTATTTTAATGAGTACGGTTTTGTTAGGGATAACATTGTTTACCCTAACTGGTTTGGGTAAAAATAATAAATATGGTATCATGGTTTGTTAGTTAAAGTGTGTGTAACTTTAACAGCAAGAATGTGATTAAGGGTGTGGTTGTAAAAGCACTATATAAGAAGCGAGGCAATTGCAGCTCTCTCTCTCTGGCTTGAAGATCCCTAATTACTGGATGGATTGATGACTGCGTTCTTGCTGGAACGGGGAGAGAAAAAGGAGTGTTGATTTTTCTCAACGGAGAGAAGATAAAGATTGGACTGATTTATTGTAAGTGAACTGACATTGGCTATTCAACACGGACTTTGCAAATAGAGTATCCCCGACAAGACTTGACTGAAATTGATATATGACTAATGGACTGTTTATTATGACTATGCTATAATTCTTAATTGGAATAAACTATATTTTTGATAGTACAAGCGTATCTGTATTTTTACTGCGTGTTAACTAGAAAACTTATCTCACACATTTTCCTGTCTTCCTATCTGACTTCGCTGTACATTCTGTTTAGTTTGTTTTCCTTAACACCCGTTGGGGAATCCAGGCTTAACAGGTTGTTGTTTTTTTAAAAGCTTCCATAAAGGAAATTACTACTTGTTTACTGCTGCCTTTCAATTAAAAAGTATGCTCAAAAATAACAATAAAATACAATAAAGCATTATCTTGTTCCTCTCTATACCGCATATTTTATTCTGTTTTCTAGGCCTGAGAGGAGAGGGGAACACTGATAAAATAAAAATAATCACTGGTATGGGTATCGTTTCGTGGGATGGATGCCAACTCCCAAAATTCTGAACAATAGTCATGCTCGCTGAGGAAATCTCTGAATTGAAACTCATATATCTGAAGCTATGCACTTTCTGGAGAAGGTTGCTTGAGGTCACCATCCCATGACCTGCATGCATGAAGTTCTGCTGGAAGGAAATCTCTCATCTTCCTTGTCTATGTGCCACAAGAAGCACTTGGTTTCTTAACCTGGAATCTGCTTTTTTTTTTTTTTTTTTACTTTATTTCACTAAAGTGTTACAGGGATTATTCAATAATTTATGCTCATACTACAATTTATGTCACGCCTGGAAATGGTAGCTGATCTTAACTAAGTTGGAAAAATGCAAAGAGACTACTATCCTTGTTTCTGGAGACAAGCTGTTGGAGAGGAGAAGGGCCATAATCTTCACATGGTAAAAGAAGTGATGATTATGAATTCTGAAATATAGTCACGAATGGGGACACAACAGTATGAATTTACAGTTCCTCCCACAAAACTGTCATATTGCAACCCTCCATTCTCCACCACAAATGCTCATGTCTATTGCGTTCTCCTTCATCTGGATTTTTCAACTCAACGTGGCTCGAAAGCAAAACAATGCAATTTAAGAATTTACCAAATTAAACCCTGCCCCTCAATGTTATTATTATTTGGGAAGCGTAGGGAAATAAAGTTGTCTATTTCCAAGTAAATGACCTTGTAAAAACATGTTTGTTTCCTAAAAAACACCCATTTCAAAAAGATAATCTAGACATATAAAATTATTATCTAGCCTAACTGCTAAAATGGCTGCTTTATGCTTCATGAAACAATAATTAATTTGGTATAGAGAGTTTTCTTCCATTTTTATTAATGATATCATGTGGCTAATAATATAGAGCTAATCCAGTGATGGACTGCTGCCAGTTAGGACCGGTTCTAGCGAATCATGAGTTGCGGTGAGCAGTTGGCCCCGCCCACCCACCCCGCCCTTTCCTGTCCTATATTTCCCTGTTTTTAGCTCAGCTGATTTGTGTGGCACAATGGATTACTACACCTCAGCTGTTTTATTCACCAGCGCTGATATAGAAGGTTAAGTTTTTAAGCTTAAAATGGGCGGTTTTTGAATGCTGTGCATGCGCTCAATTGTTATGAACCAATTGTTAAACCGGTTGCAGCCCACCACTGGGCTAATCCTATACTGCTTTATGGGTTAAGAAACTGGTTTTTTTTCCACAGCTTAGTTAAGATCAGCTACCATTTTCCAGACATAAATTGTAAAACCAAATGGAAATTACAACTTTTACAACTGCATCAGAGAAAGGGCAAAACATATGCCTGAAGCTCAAAGTGACTCCTTCCTATCATGGATAGGTTATCATGGTAGCTGATGCAGCCAGCCTTTGCATTAAACCGAATACCAAGGAATATTGAGGGTTATTTTGAGAACAGCTCAGAATGATGTTATATAAATCTAAATTATATAAGTCATTTAGACTTAACAAGATCATGATACATCTTTCAAAGAAAATCAATTCAAATTTAAACACATAAAACAGTCTGGACAAAAAGGAAATTAAACAAATTCCAACCCAGCAAAAAAAAAAGGACAAGATAAATTAACTGAAATGGTCTCATAGAAGTAATCATAGAAGGATTTTAAGGTTTTAAGGTGTGAGGTAGATGAAAGGTTTCGTGCCCAAGGTTAATTCACAAAGTTGACTTAATTCAGAATAAATGACGGGACGTAGCCATGGGGTACTAGCCAATCTGATATCAACTTGCAATCTTTTCCAGCTTTAAACTGACAGACAACAAAGGAAAAGATGATCTTATCTATAAAAAAAGAACCCTACATGTCTAAAAGGACAATTGAGATAGGAAGCTCCAAGAGCATAGCGTATTCTTACAAAGCAAGACAAGAATGCAAAGGTTTATTAGAAAAGCAGCGTCACAAACACAAGCCTATATCTGCATGCATTATATTCTTGAATTAGGGCCAATAAATAAAATGCCTGTTAGATACATATTAAAAAGCACAGAACATTACACTCCTCTGATAGTTTGCACTCACTGAAGACATAGTATGAAAATGAGAATGGGCAGTTTTGAAAGCTTCTAGAATATTCTTAAAAAGATTCTGAAATAGGCTATGTGAAACCTTGGTCCCATTGGCCATTGAGTGGAAATACTGTTGGATGTGAAAATCCATGAAATCCAAATATACATAATTCATACAAATGATAGACAACATGAGTTGCGTCCGCTTACTTCTTTTGTACAATTATGTAATTATGCAGATGACATGAATTGATATGTCAGTTGTTTGGATGGTTTCCAAAAAAGGAAGAGGGAGTTTTGTTTATTGTTTGGGAGCAAAAATCCAAAATACAGTTTTGTTCATTGCATCTGGGGTTTCTTGAATTGAGGTTGTAATATATAGAGTTTTAAGGATCCCTTTTAGGATACTAAGTAAGTTTCAGCTGATATTATTGCTTTCTTGAAATATTGCTGAATTTTGACATTATGCATAACCCAAGAGACATAATGGTTTTTTAAATATACACATTTAAAGATATTTTTAATAGTGTTTTTTTTTAGAGGATGCTGAAGCATGAAAAGTATCTGTATTTTAAAATATTGTTTTGACTGTACACATACACACATACTAATGCTATTTCCCAAAGAAATATTTTCAAAACTGCTTTAAAAGGTAGTCTGGAATTGTTCTGTTTAAAACATTCCTGATCTCTCCTTACCTTTTTGCATTATCTATTAATGACCTATTAATTCTGAAGTTCAATTAAACTGCAAAATTCTCAAATGGCTCTTCTTTTTTTTTCCCCTTTCATAGCACACAGCAACTAACAAGCAAATGCAGAAAATGCTCACGTGATATAACACTGTCCATATACTGAGGTAAATAAGGAGCCCAGGTATCAATGGCTTCCTTCCTGCCCGCCTGTTCAATTCTCCTCAGCTCTGCTAATAGTAAGGCTTGTGCAGCTTCTCTTACCTGAAAATCCAAACAGAACAGGGCATTGGTTCAATTAAAGCACTGGAATAATTGTAGAAAAAAAGGTGCAATAAACATTAATAGTAACTTATCAGAGGGGGTCTAGTAGCACTTTTCCCGATGTGTAAAGTATAAGCTTTTATGAGCTTTTCTTGCCTTTTAAGGACATTGGTGGGGTGAAAAAGGTATTATCAGATACTTTTTTTTTTTTGTAGACAAAGCTCTCCTCCAATAGCAATAGCACTTGGATTTATATACCGCTCCATAGTGCTTTATGGCCCTCTTTAAGTGGGTCTATGAAATTCGCCGTGGCCAACTGGCCATGGCCAACTCACCATAGCCAACTCTCCACAGGACAACTTTCCATGGCCAACTTGCCATGAGGCAACTTACTGCAGGGCAAGAGTTACACTATCGAAGAAATGGTGTGATAGAAACATTAAAGAAAGGATGCAAAAGGAAGGACAGAACGAAATATGAATGGCCAAAATTAAAATACGATTTTAACATCGCTGAGACTGGAGCCTGTTTTTGTGTCTTAAGAATGAAGTAACTTGTGGCATTTTCTTGCTCATTTCCCCCTCCCTGTCTGTTTTCTATGCAGTTTAATAATAGCCTTTTCCACAGAATAATCAGCTATTTTACTAATTTGTTTTCTAGCAAAGCATTGTACTCAAGTCACTTAATACCAATGAAAGATAAGTTCACGTCCTTGGAACATAAAATGTATTCCTAGCATACAAAATTTAAAAAAAATACATTTTTATTTATTTTAAATAATTAAATTGAATTGTTAAATTGTTCTGCAGCGAGTTGGTCATGCTGAGTTGGCTGCGGTGAATTGGCTGCGGCAAGCTGTCCCATTCTGTGTCTAAGACGTTTACAGAGTCAGCATATTGCCCCAACAATCTGTCTCCTCATTTTACTGATCTCAGAAAGATGGAAGACTGAGTCAACTTTGAGCCAGTCAGGATTGAACTGCGGCAGCGTCAGCCTGCAATACTGCATTCTAACCACTGCGCCACCACGGCTCTAACAAAAAAATAATTATCAACTAACCTGACAGCAACCTGTGCTGTATTTGACAAGATACATAATATAAAAAGATTCTTTGTAAAATTGAGCATTGAAGGAATAGGACATTTTTCTACTTCCCCAATGCTGTTGACGCTGAGGAAAGAACCACATTGACACAGAACGCCAACACTTTTTTAATTAGCAAAAATACTTTTTTAAATAGCAAAAAAATATATATAGCAAAAATAGCAAAAATATATGCTGCCATTTTATCCACGGGACATGATGGCAGGCGTAACCAAAAGGTTTTGAGGTTTTTTTTTGAATAATCAGGTCTACTTATTTACATTGAGATCGGCTTTTGCTGAAGGATTCCCAAAGGTTCCAGCAGTTACTCTCCCAAGCCAGTTTCTCTGATATGTTGAGACAGAGAGACAAATTTCCTACTCCGCACAGACCTGGATTTCACCATCACTATACAACGTCAGCAATAGTTTTTCAATTAAGCTGAGACGCCAACTCAACCCCCTACTGTAAATGTCACAGATTGGCTCCTCATATATTTCTTTTAAAGCTGCACAATCAACACTTTTCCCCTTTCTTCTTTTTGCCATAACAGCACAGATGTAATGTCAAGGCCAGATAGTCATTGATCAAAAATAGGGGACGCCAACTCCATTTGCCAGCTAGAGAAGTTACTCAGCACTTTCACCCTAGAAACTGGCCTAAAATAGAATGTCTTTTGCTTTGTTAAAACCACATCTAGCTTTTGAAAACAGCCAAATCCTTCTTAACAAATGCGAATCCTATCTATCTATCTATCTATCTATCTATCTATCTATCTATCTATCTAT